CCTATCCCCAGTCTTCGTCCTCTCCTTCTCCTGATACTCACGAGAATTCTCCAGAGCTAGCCGCATCTTCGCCTCCTACAATAGCTCCACCTCCTCGTCGGGGTGATCGCACACGAGTTACTTCCACACGTTTGCGTGGGTTTGACGTGGACTTACTAGGTTTTGGGGGTTCGGTTGAAGTTGAGTACCCTCTTGCGCATATTCTTCGCTATGATTGTCTTTCTTTGGCGCATCATGCTTTTGTCGCCGCTGTTACTTCAGCTGAAGAGCCAAACTATTTTTATCAAGCGGTGCGTCATAAGCATTGGCGTGACGCCATGCAAAAGGAAATCGACGCTTTGATTGCCAACGGTACCGGGTCTTTATTTCATCTCCCTCCTGGCAAGAAGAGCATTGCGTGTCGTTGGGTATTCAAGGTCAAATTTAATCCCGATGGCACATTCAAGCGTTATATAGTTCATCTTGTTGCGAAAGGCTACACTCAAGTTGAGGACATCGATGATCATGACACGTTTGCTCTGGTGGCTAAGCTTGTCACAGTTCGTTGTCTCCTGGCTGTTGCAGTTACTAATAATTAGCATATTCACCAGCTAGATGTGAATAATGCTTTTCTCCATGGTGATCTTGATGAAGAGGTGTACATGACAGTTCCGCAAGGTTTTGCTCCGCTCGGTGATACTCGTTTGTGTCGTCTACACAAATCCATATATGGGCCCCGTCAGGCCTCGCGTAATTGGTATAAGAAATTCACTCAGGCTCTTCTTGCTCTTAGTTTTGTTCATAGCCGCGCGGATCATGCCCTTTTTGTCCACCAGCATGCGTCCATTTATGTGAATGCACTCATTTACGTTGATGATATGATCCTAGTTGGCACGGACTTGTCTTTCATTGCGCGAGTTAAGGACTCCCTTCATGCGCAGTTTACCATCAAGGATCTTGGACCCCTAAAGTATTTCTTGGGCATTGAGGTTGCTCGTTCACCTAAAGGGATTGTTTTGAATTAGCGCAAATATGTCTTGGACATCCTCGCTGACTCCGGTCTTACTGCGGCTTGACCCAGCCCCACTCCTATTGAGCAACAGCATCATTTGGGGCGTCTTGAGTCTCCTCCCACTGCAGATGCTAATGTGTATCACAGGCTTGTTGGTCGCTTGTTATATCATACAGTAACGCGCCCGTATATCACCTATTCTGTGAATTTGCTTAGCCAAGCTATGAAGGCACCTGCATGAGCGCATGAGGAAGCTGCAGTACATGTTCTTCGGTACCTCAAGTCGAGACCTGGACGTGGGCTTTTCTTCCCGGAGTCTACTCCTCTTGTTCTCACCACCTTCTGTGATGCTGACTGGGGCGGTTGTCCTCATTCCCGACGTTCTACTTCGGGCTACTTTATCACTCTTGGTGCATCTTCGATTTTTTGACGCACGAAGAAACAAACAGTCGTGGCGCATTCTTCGACAGAGGCAGAGTATCCGTCTATGACTAGTACAGTTAGCGAAGTTCTATGGCTGCGCTGGTTACTCCGTGATTTGGGTGTTTACATATCCGGTCCTACTCCGCTATTTTGCGACAATCAGGCTGCACTTCACATTGCAGCTAACCCGGTTTTTCATGAGCCGACCAAGCACGTGGAGATGGACTGCTACATTGTGTGCGAACGAGTTCAGTCACGTGATATTGCCCCTCGAAAGACCGCCTCCTCGGAGCAACCTGCTGATTTATTCACCAAGGGTCGTGATCAGTTCGATCTTCTTCTTGGCAAGCTCGGACTTCTTGATATTCATTCCTTCGCTTGAGGGGGAGTATTGGGATCCCTAGTGTTACAAGTTGTTTAATTAGGGATCAGTTTGTAATTTGGTATTTTCCCACGCTGCTTGTTTATTCTGGGAAGACTATTTAAGTCTCTGCCGGTAGCGAGAGAGTTGGGGGACGCGAAAGACAAGCTCCGCGGTGAGGTTCCATTTCCGGTAGCTACAGAGGCTGGAGACGGGAGCGGTGAGTTGGGCGGTGAGGTTCGATTTCCGATAGCTACATACGCGAGCTGTAATGAGGTTCGACGGAGGGGAACAATGGGCTTCTATGGAGGGAAACAACTAACTGGCGGTGCAGTTCAGTCTACCGCCCAATGAGCTGTAATGGACTTCGATGGAGGGGAAACAATTAATTGGCGGCTCTGTTGATTGACAAAATTCTCCTTCCATGGATTGCACACAGCGCTGGAAAAGTGAACCTAAGGGGGTTCTGCCAAAGAAACTCCTTATAGTGATGTTAGGATAGGATGCAGACGGGACGAGTTCCTAATAATTCCTAGCAAGTAAACACCCTCTCTTAACTGTGTATTTGTTTTCAGCATATGCATCCTCAACACGAAAAAGGTTCCTATCTTTTTCCCTATTTCTTTTTTTATAACGGTGAATCAATTTATTAAAGACATGGCAAGTTAAAAGTACAACTAATGGTTTTCTCAAAAATAAAAAAATAAAAAGTACTACTAATATCGGGTGTCCAAAACCGGTTCCCCACGGTTCCACTAAACTATGGATAACTAGGTTATTGAAGTCAGTGGCCAAGAATTCTACTAGACTTTGGTACTATTAATCAAAATCAAATTTTCCTTTGTATTAAAATTCTCGTTTAATAAAAATTAGGCTTTTGATTGAATATTAGAGGTGGCAAATGAATTGTATTGGTGGATCCGTGGATCCGTTGATCAAATGGATTTGATTAATTGTATATTTTTAATGGACTGATGAATTGGATTGAAATTGCCACCTCTATTGAATTTTTTTTTATGGTTATTGAATATTATTCTGCCTACTTGTATTGCTGTTTTTGTTGTTGAGATTATTATCCTTGTGAAGTTTTGCCTTTGATTTGAGGGGGGAAGACCACAAGAATTTGTTCACAAAGTTTGCTTGCTCATTGACTGATTGAAGGTTTGGCTTGAGTATACCATGCATTGCTCGATCGATCTTTTGTTCTTCGGCATCCAATTTTTTCATGTAAACCAATTTTCTAGGAACCCAAAATCACCATGTCTATTTCCATGATGAGCCAATATTTATTTATTTATTTATTTAAAGAGAATGACTCATATACAAATAAACAGAAAATTAACCACACCTAGATTGTCGAAGAGATACACCGCAGATGAAGAGTAGGCCAAACGACGAATACGTGAGAAAGAAGAAATCTTTCGGGGCTGAATCATTTGCTTCTAGTTCTCGGTAGAATTTTGAAAGGATTTCACCCTCACCACCTTAGATAAAATTCTAATTTGGGCCCTGCCGATCTCAATCGTCCTCTTCATCCCTATCGTTTTACTTCTTGCGGCGTGTTCTCGTCACCGGCTTTGTAGGGCGCTGGAGATAAATTCACATCCTCCGATCCACTAACGAACAAGGCATGCATGGATTAAGTAATGGTTAGCCAATAACAAAAGGTATAAAATTGATATCTGAATTTGAAATTCTATACCCAAAGAAACATAAATAGGTGGTGGAAAAAAGACAAAAGGTCGGTTTAGGATGACGGGTGGCGGGCGGCCATCGTACTATAAGCCAAAATATTTGTTTACGTGAGTGCTTATGCCATCTGCTTACGCATGCAATCTGCTGCATCATGCATGCATAGGATGTTTTCATTTTTTTCATTAGTGAAATTAAAAAGAAATAATGTGCGTTTGTGCTAACACTGGCTAGAATTAATAGGAATATTTTATTTGAATGATTTTTATTTATTTATTAGAATTGACCACATCTAATTGCAGATTTACAAAAGGAAGACTCCAACCCAATGATCGACAAAACCTTTACCACTAAAATATAACTTTATACCACGTTGACCCTGCAAGCACCCTACTACTCACCGTTCAACCTCAAGCATGACACATACCCAACTGTCAAAGTATGTCGGGCCGCTCACTGCTCACCATTAGGGTGTCAGCCGTCAGGCATGAAATGACTCGAAACAAACCTTAATGTGGGCTCGAAATAATACCATTTTGGATGTTATCAAGCACCAAACAGTTTCTTACCATAAAGTTCATTCATAAGCCAGTTCTGGGGTCACATAAGTGTTAGTGAACGGCATATGAATGATTCACGATTGAACATCTTCCAACAACGTAACTCGAGTTATTGGGACCAACTGGTTCTTGACATGGTATCAGATCCTTATGTGACCGAGAAGTCTTGTGTTCGAATCCCGGTGACCCCATTTGTGAAGCACATGTATTCTCGTGTTCAAGACATGTGCAAACGAAAGCCCTTATGAGGTGACTGGCTTTCGTTTAAGGGGGTGTGTAGTGAACGGTGTATGATCCATGATTGAACCTCTCCCAACAACTCGAGTTATTGGGACCAACTGGTTCTTGACACTGTAAGAATTCTATTAACACTGTAATTGTCAGAATATCCTTGGCGATCAACCTGATAGTTGAATATTGTAGGTCATGGTTATTCCACCAAGATAAAATGTTGAACTCTTCGCTTATTGGGATCACATCGTCTCACAAGTATTTTTCCAACTCTTTTTAAACATTCCCTATTAGATCCAGTACTATCAACATAAGAATCAAAGCTGGAAAGAAACTAAGAACTTGCATGTTGATGAGGCATTGGAGAAGAAGAAGAATGGCAAACATGAAACATATTAGTAAATTTAGTGACCAAACATGTAATTCACCCGAAAAGTAGGAGAAGATAAAAACATTGAAAGAGGTCTATATCATGACGTCCTAGAGTGTGAAAAAGGTATCATGACGTTCTACAGTGTGAAAGAGGTATCATGACGTCCTAGGACTGCTGCTCCGATTCGTCCCACGACCTTTTTTCGGTGGAGGATAATATTGCAGGCCGTGCCCATATTATATATGCCATAAAGAAACTAGGAAACTATTATGAATAGATAAAAAGCTTTTTTTGGCAAAGTTTAGCTTGTCACTTCCTTTCCATACTAGCTAGATCCTAATTTACGGCCATAATTTTGAATCCGCGCGAATGGCTTCAGTTGTGCTCATCCTCCTCCTCCTCCTCTTACTATTTCTGGGCGCCCTATGCCACACCGCCGCTACTACGAACCCTCGTCCTCCGCCGTGGCGCCACCACGTCTTCCTCAACCACCGGGGGCCCGATGGCCGCCACACATTCGCCGACCACCTCGACTACGCCCTCCGACGCAAAAGAATCAAGGTTTTCCGGGACGACCACGACCTCCCCCGGGGAGAAAACGTGACCGAGGCCATCTCACGCGCCATCGAGGAGTCCATGCATGCTGTCCATCGTCGTGCTGAGCGGAGGGTACGCCTCGTCGGAGTACTGCCTCGACGAGCTGGTCAAGATCATGAACTGCAGGAAGGAGAACGGACACCGGGTTTTCCCCGTTTACTACAAAGTGTCCCCGGACGACGACGTCGCCGATCCGGCGTCGTCTGGGGTTTACAAGGCCGACTTGGACCGTCACAAGAGAAGGCATTCCTACGATAGAGTGGCTACCTGGATCCACGCTCTCCGATCCATCTCCCATATTTCAGGATGGGTTGTGACCGATCACACGTAAGTTTTGAACTACGTCCGAACATAACATACTATGTTATATCATTCTTTGAGGGTGGTTTGTTCTTGTTTCAATTTACTAGTACTAGCAGTTTCTTTTGCATCTGCCTTGCTGTCAGCCTGTCACTGGAATCAACTGAATTAAGTTATTGGGATAAAGTGATTTTTTATCAAATTATTGGAATTAACTGGTTCTTGCCATGATATCGGAGACATAGCTTATGTGATCCAGAGACTCATATTTTTTATTCAGTACATGATATCCGGATCTGTGCGAACTTCAATCTCATATGAGACAATTTTGTTTGAGATAGTATGTTTATAGGTTATAGGTATAATATGCTCATCTATTATGTCGGTTTATCAAACATGCCCCATCTATTATTTTTTACATGAAACATGCATCTACTTTGGCAAAATGATCAAACACGCTCTTCTGTTAAACTTTCTATTGGGAAAAAAAGTCAACTATGATTGTTAATTTATTTTTCTTCTTATTTATTCAAAATGTTATTTGTACTAAACTCAGTCAAAATCATGACTTGTCAAGGTCTCTCTACATAGTCTAAGGTGTCGGGGTAATAATTTACAATTTGATCAAGGTAAGCAAATTTTTATGTTGCTTCTCGTCAACATGTTACTCTATATCATCGTTTTTACTTGATCATGTCATAGTTTATCTTCTCACATTGAGATTATTTGTCATTCCAATATATCCAAATAGATGTTACTTGATTTCATTATTATGATTAATCTGTTACTTGATTTCATTATTATGATTAATATTATTTGGATTAATATGTTAGGTTGTGTAGTTGGATTTACATTATTATATGATTTTACAACATATATATCAAGCTCTGTCAGAACAGAAGCGTGCAATCGATGATCCAAACCAACAAGAACGAACACAAATTTAACGTGGTTCACTAACACAATTTGTGCTAGCTAATCCACGGGCAGAGGAGAACAAATTTCACTGATTTTGAGGAGAGTACAGGTTACAAACCAAATTCCAAACCGACAAACCAAACAAACTAACCTGACTGACCTTACTACAGACTAGGGTGATGAAGAGTATTTATAGAACTCTTCTCCTAATCCCAAACAAAAAACCAAACACCTTTTTCCAAACTTACAAGGAAAAGGTCAAAACAAAACTCAATCCCAAACCCAAACAGAATAGGCCTAAAACACAAAACAAACCCAATCAAATTCAAGTCATATTCTAACAATCTCCACCTTGACTTGAATTCTCTCTCAAATACCAGATGTACCATACGCAACAAAAGTTGCCAGATGTACCAGATACGATCCATATCGCCAAATTTACCCATATGCGATCGTAATCGCTAGATATCCAGATGTGATCGAAATCACCAAACTCAAACGCGATGCAAATCGCCAAACTCATATGCAATCAGAATTGTCAGACGTACTAACTCCTCCAAATCAGCTGTACCAGAATCTCCCATGCCTCCAAATGCCCCTAAGGCGGTCAACAACTCAAACCATTCGGCAAATCCAACCCATGTTGAGACTTGCCATTCAGAACCAACTTGGTGCACTTATCACCAATAGAGCATGTCAAAACAGAACCTTGTAGATTATACAAGGCACCCCGCTTGACACCTTTCAAAATCACCTTAGAACCCTTGTAGACAGACAACACTCCACCTTCACCTTTGAAACTGAAACCCTTGCTATCGAGTAGACTCAAAGATATCAGATTCTTAGTCATCTCTGGAATATGTCTAACATTGTTCAAGGTGCGAGCAGAACCATTATGTGTCCTCATCCGGATGGAGCTCTTCCAACAATCTTACAGATAGCATCATTGGCCATAGAAACATGTCCTCCATCTATCTGCTCATAAGTTGAAAACCACTCCCTGCTTGGACACATATGATAATCAGCTGCAGTATCCAAATACCACACATCTTGATGATGTACCAGTTCATTCACTGCTAAGGCTAAACCATCTTCAGAATCAGAGTTAGTTTCTTCCGCCACATGAGCAGATGATTCCTTCTTCTCCTGATATTTCTTCAGTTTAGGACAATCGAATTTCCAATGTCCTTTCTCCTTCCAGTAATGACATATATCATCCTTCAAACCAGCAGAATTCGAATTTGTATTCGCCTTCCTATTACCAGATTGTTGTCTCCTACTACTCGTAGCAGCCAACCCAGATGCCTGATTTTCCGAACCTGAACCAGATGCCTTATGTCGAACCTCTCTAATATGTAGAGCAGATCTGACATCTTCCAAAAACAAACTATCTTTCCCAGCAATAAGAGAATCCACAAAATTCTCATACGACCGTGGCAAAGATACTAACAGAATTAAGGCAGCATCCTCATCATCTATTTTAACATCAATATTCCGCAAATCTAACAAGATGGTATTGAGTTGATCTAGATGATTCCTGAGAGATGTACCTTCCTCCATACGCAAACTGAACAAACGTTGCTTCATATGCAACTTGTTGGTTAAAGACTTTGTCATGTATAGACTTTCAAGCTTCAACCACAAGCCTGCGGCAGTCTTCTCAGCAGCAACCTCAGTGATGATGTCATCAGCCAAACAAAGCAAGATTGTAGAGTGAGCTTTCTCCTCCAAAGTAATCCACTCTTCTTCACCTATGCTTTCCTTCTTCGATTTTCCAGACAACGAAGCCCACAAACCCTGTTGTTTCAACAGTGCTTGCATCTTGATCTGCCACAAACTGAAACTGTTTCTTCTGGTAAATTTCTCAATCTTCATACTGATAGCAGCCATTCTTACTATCAAACAAACTCCAACCAAACTTCTCACCAAACAAGCGAGACCAAAACAAAACTACCCAAATTCAACTTCAAAGCGATTCCTCCACCGAACCAAGCTAAAGAATCGAAAGCTACCTCCACAAAGCAAAACTTCAGTCCAACGCCAATTCCCAAAACCGCAACCAAAGGCTCTGATACCACTTGTCAGAACAGAAGCGTGCAATCGATAATCCAAACCAACACTAACGAACACAAATTTAACGTGGTTCACTAACACAATTTGTGCTAGCTAATCCACGGGCAGAGGAGAACAAATTTCACTGATTTTGAGGAGAGTACAGGTTACAAACCAAATTCCAAACGGACAAACCAAACAAACTAACCGGCCTGACTGACCTTACTACAGACTAGGGTGATGAAGAGTATTTATAGAACTCTTCTCCTAATCCCAAACAAAAAACCAAACACCTTTTTCCAAACTTACAAGGAAAAGGTCAAAACAAAACTCAATCCCAAACCCAAACAGAATAGGCCTAAAACACAAAACAAACCCAATCAAATTCAAGTCATATTCTAACAAGCTCGTAAAAAAATCTGTGTTTTATCACAAACAAAAAAGTGTTCCTGTAGTAAGAACAACAAGAAATGAGCCATATAAGTTAAAATTGATTTCTTGACTTTTCGGTGTCATTCTATTCTTATCAATTTCTACAATGACAATTTGACATATAGAGAGATGAAAGTTCCAAGAGCTAAAATATTTTCCAAAACTGAAAATTGAAAAAAATAGAGAAAATGGGAGAAGTTAACATGAAGAAAATATTGGGAAGTTATGATATCATTTTAATGGAAAATATGTTTGTCTCGTACCTATTGTATGTCAAAGACTTTATCCAGTCAATTATTAAAGGGAAAAATAAATTCACATATGCTCATTTAATAACAATATTATTAACAAATTTTATATATTATAAGCTGATGCAATTTATTATATAAATGGGTAGGCTTTATTCATCTAATTAATAAGATCAGCAGATTGTGGGAACTACATGGGAACCCCTATCCAACTAACCTAAAAAGATACAACAACAACAAAAAAAAAGAATGGCTTTAACAGTAAAATCTATCTACTCAACCAATATCGATCTGAACTATCTGCTTCATCATCTTGACTCTTCATACCACAGGCGCTAAATGGCAGGAGATTCTGCAAATTTTGGCCCCCCTGTTCTTTTGCCTCCACCACTCCCTGCATCTTTTTGACTAAGACTTCCACTGTCATCTACTTCCCTGCAAATTTTGGCTGAGATGGTATGTCTGAGGAATAAAACAAACACCACAATACGTACTCTCCCTACTTACATGAGAAAACTGTTTTCCATACGTCCTGTACGTAAATGCACACAAAGGGAATTATTATAGAATGATGAGTTATTTCATGGAATAAAAGGAATTGATGAGTTCGCTGGATTGATGGTGAAATTGTATTGATTTACTAGTTACAATTACAAGTGTTGAGAGAGCCTTTTCAGCTTTGGGTTACGTCAAGAACAAGTTTTCAGAATCGAAATAAGCGATGAGTTTGTGAGAATCAAGAATGATTGTCTAGTATGATATATTGGCAGATATTATTTTAGCACAGTACACAGCGAGCGTAGTTTACAATTCTTCATACATAGTGGCTTTTGTTGTAACTTGTACTAATAAGATATTTTCTTATTGATTTTCTGATTAAATTTTTAATTTAATAGTTGGAAAGGAACACTCTTATAAAAAATGCATGATCTTCCACTGATTTGGCCGAGAGCGGTTCTCATGCATAACCTAAGGGTGCATTACCATTCATAACCCTATACTAACCATAATACCATTTTATAGGAGGGTATTAACTCTCCCTCCAATAAATTTTAACGAGATATATCTCTTTCGTTTCAATTAAAAATTAAAAAAATGCAAAGAAAAATTAGATTAATTGTGCTCTTCAAAATTACATCTATTTTTATATATTTTGAAAAACAATTGAGACTTTATTATCAGTCCATACCATGTGCTACTACTTGATATATATATGAGATTATATCACCTTCTATGGAAGTGTATCATGATGGATTGAAACACAAGAGTGTAGAATGGCTGCATGCATGATAGTAGAAATATATTCAC